CAAATTTGGTGTCAATTTGTCCAGTGGTTTTTGAGTGATATTAATCCTACAAACGAACATTACATTGTCGAAGGCTTTCATGGCCGGAATCACTAAGTTCTTGTGGGTCTTTTCGGGATATATGGCCATGTTCTAGAGGCATTTCTCCTGACGTTTCGCCTGCATCTATGGCAAGCATCCTCAGAGGTGAGGTCATTACATTTTTATTTGTATAGATTAATATTTCAATGGGAAGTGTGGGCCTGCTTTTGGCTGATGAGATCGGATTGTTGTTGTTGTGTGCTTTCAAGCTGTTTCAGACTTAGGTTGACCCTGAGCAAGGGCCAGGGAAATGATTTTGGAGGGCCGTATCCAGCCCTCGGGCCTTAGTTTGAGAACCCCTGCTTTAAACGGTCTGCTTTTAGGGTTACCTCCAGATCCAAGCATTTCCATTTGGAGGAACCATGGAGATGCTGGAACAGGAGCGGCTTCGCTCTTAAAACAGAAGTTGAATCCTCCAACCAAAAGTCCTCCTCCTGCTGTGATTGGACAACTTTTTAGGCGGCCTCTCAGCCAGGGGAGGGCTGTTTCTGAGACTCCAGGTGTGGATGGGAGAGCAGGCGTGCTCAGCACATAGCAGCGTGGTTCTCATGTGCACACAAGGGAGAGCGCACAAAGCTGGAGGGAGGCTCATGCCAGCAAGTCCCTTCAAGGCATGGGGGTTCTGTGTGGTAAGTTTGGCCCAATTCTATCATTGGTGGGGTTCAGAATGCTCTTTGATTGTAGGTGAACTATAAATCCCAGCAACTCCCAAATGTCAAGCTCTATTTTCTCCAAACTCCACCAGTGTTCATATTTGGGCATATTGACCATTCATGCCAAGTTTAGTCCAGACCTATCATTGTTTGAGTCCACAGTGCTCTCTGGATGAGGTGAACTACAACTCCAAAACTCAAACCCTCCCAGTATTTTCTCTTAGTCATGGGAGTTCTGTGTGCCAGGTTTGGTTCAATTCCATCATTGGTGGAGTTCATAATGCTCTTTGATTGTAGGTGAACTATAAATTCCAGCAACTACAACTCTCAAATGACAAAATCAATCCCCCCCACCACCACCATCACCAACCCCACCAGTATTCAAATTTGGGAGTGTTGGGTATTTGTGCCAAATTTGGTCCAGTGAATGAAAATACATCCTGCAAATCAGATATTTACATTACGACTCATAACAGTAGCAAAATTACGGTTATAAAGTAGCAACAAAAATATTGTTATGATTGGGGGTCACCACAACATGAGGAAACCTATTAAGGGGTCACGACATTAGGAAGGTTGACAAACACTGAATTAGAACAAGGCTTGGAAGTGCAGGGCTAGAAAGTGGGAGAGCTAACCCTGAGTTTGGGAACATTTTCAAACAAGTTGCCATGTGAATCTATCAAAGCATAACAAGAATGTACATGTTAGATATCCCTTATCCAGCCTTTCGGATTTCACATTTTTTCCATAGAACTATAGAGTTGGAAGGGACTGCTAAAGTCATCCAGTCCAGCCCCTTGCCATACTATTAGTAGTAGTAGTATTTATATTATTTACAAAAAAATTATATATATACACACACTATATATCCTACTTCCTCTCTCTCTCTCCATTCCCTTCCCCCTTCCTTTCCATCCTTCTCTTCCTCCCTCCCTGCCTTACTTCCTTCCCCTTTGTCTTTCCTTCCTTCTCTCTTTCCTCCCTCCTTCCCTTACCTCCCTCTCTCTATTCCTTTCTACTCTTCCTTCCTTCCATCCATCCATCGTTCCCTTCCTCCCTCCTGTTTGTTTTTCCTTCTCTCTTTCCTCCCTCCCTCCATTCCCTTCCACCCATCCATCCATCCATTCATCCATCCATTATTCTCTTCCTCCCCTCTCCCTCCCTCCCTTCTTTCCTTTTTCTTTCCTTCCTTCTCTCTTTCCTCCGTCCCCCCTTTCTCCCTGCCTTCCCCTCTCGTTTACCTTCCACCCTTCCTTCTATCCTTCTTTTCCTCCCTTCCTCCCCTTTTGTCTTTCCTTCCATATCTTTTTCCTCCCTCTCTCCTTACCTTCCCTCCCTCCATTCCCTTCCACCCTTCCATCCATCCATCATTCTCTTCCTCCCTCCCTCCCTTCCGTTTTGTCTTTCCTTCCATATCTTTTGCCTCCCTCCCTCCTTACCTTCCCTCCCTCCCTTCATTCCCTTCCACCCTTCCATCCATCCATCCATCCATCCATCCATCCATCCATCATTCTCTTCCGCCCTCCCTCCGTTCCGTTTTGTCTTTCCTTCCATATCTTTTGCCTCCCTCCCTCCCTTACCTTACCCTTCCCTTCTCCTCCTCCTCTCGTTTACCTTCCACCCTTCCTTCTATCCTTCTTTTCCTCCCTTCCTCCCCTTTTGTCTTTCCTTCCATATCTTTTTCCTCCCTCTCTCCTTACCTTCCCTCCCTCCATTCCCTTCCACCCTTCCATCCATCCATCATTCTCTTCCTCCCTCCCTCCCTTCCGTTTTGTCTTTCCTTCCATATCTTTTGCCTCCCTCCCTCCTTACCTTCCCTCCCTCCATTCCCTTCCACCTTCCTTCTTTCCTTCTCTTTTTCCTTCCTCCTTTCTTCCTGGGGGATGTTTATCTTGGAGAAGCGAAGTTGGAGAGGGAACATGAGAACCATATTTCAAGATTTCAAAGGATGTCCCATGGAGGAGGAGGAGAGGGAAGAGGGGGGAACCTGACTTTCTGCTGCTCTAGAGACCAGGGCACAAGGGAGGAATGGGTTCAGATGGAAGGGAAATAAAGTTGACTGAAAAGATTATGAAGAACTTCCTGGAGAGTGCTATAGGCCACCTGGGAGAGTGGTGGACTCTCCTTCTATGGAGGCTTTTCCAAAGAGGCTGTCTATTGAGCGTGCCTTTTTGCATGGCAGGGGGTTGGACTGGATGACCCTAGAGGGTCTCTTCCAACTCTAGGATTCTATGATTCTATATCAGGAGTAGGCAATATGGGTCGAATGGATACACGTGTTCTCTCCCGTCCACCATCTCATCCTGACCAAGGCCAACCCTTTTGGGATCCAAACATTTCCCGTCTTTCCTTGACTTTCTGCCTCAACAAGAGAAGAGGAAGGGGAGGAAAAGGCAGGGAGGGGACTTGGAGAGAACCCACTCTTTCCTGGCCCATTCTGGCCTGCTATGCAGCCCCCAAGTTACAAAGTTTGCCCATGCCTAGTTTCACTGCATTGAAGTGGATTACACCCTGCCATGTAATACATATCAAAGCAGTTAACCGGCATTACATGGCAGTGTACAGATGCAGAGATCTGACTCGGGTGTCGCTCCAGTTTTGGTCTGGATCTCAGCATCCTTGCGCGGCGGAACTCGTCACTGCTTCTCAAATCCAACGGAGTTAAACACTCTCCTCTTCTTTTGTGATGCTGTAATCCGTGAGGAAAGTGACGCTGATTTCAGAGCCAGTCACCGACATCGTCCTGGTTGGCGTATAGTTCTGGGTGATGCTCGGGCGGCGTGTGGCGGGGGCCTTGCGCTTACAGCACATCACCTCCTTCTTGAAATGCTGGCGGAAGCCCTTGCTGAGCCAATAGAGCGCAAAAGGGTTGACGCAGGAGTTGCTGAAGGCCAAGGCCCGGGAGAAGATGGTGGCCACCAAGTGGAAAGCAGAGGTGTCGATGGAGGCGTGGTACGTGAAGGAGCGGTACAGGTAGAGGATGTGGTTTGGGAGCCAGCAGAGAGCAAACAAGCCGACCAAGACCAGGACTGTTTTGGCAACCCTCTTGCGGGATTCGATCTGGAAAACACATCCATCATCATCAGTGACCCCAACAGTAATGATCTACCCATATTTATTCAAATCTAATGCTCACCTTGTTGGGCTAAATTGATGAGGAGATATTGGAAAAATAGATATCTATTTATGCATAAATTGTATGTACTTTACAAGCACTGAAATGTATAGAAAAATCAGGTTCTCTCTCTGTATTAGAAAGAATGCCAAAGGAGATCTGTGTCCAAGGCATGGGCAGGAGGGAGGAAAAGGGGGGCATGTTATCTATACATTCCAGAGAGAGAGAGACTGGTACTAAGTAAGGAGAGCCTATATCTCCTTTCTCCTGACAACTCAAAGTAGGCCCCTTGATTGATGAATATAAGCTGCATGCTTGCTCTTTAGAAAGACACAGAGACATGCCTTTCGTATGTTGAAAGGTAGAATTTGATATTCCTATGATGCTAAAATGACGCAGAGAATGATGTCAATGTATGTAGAAGCATGTTCTTTGTTTGACTGCAATTGGAGGATATCAAAGCCATAGTCAACGCCTATATCGGGGCTCTGGTGCTTTTGGACACAACTCCTCACCGGAGTCCCAGCTGGAAATAAAACCCGTGCTTTTGAGACCTCCGGACCTCTCTTTGTCTCTTTTCCTCAAACCTTTCCCCTGCCATTTCAAAATGATCTTGCCAGAATCAGGATGTTAATTAGATTCGCATCATAAAGTGATCTTAGTGTTGAGCCAAAACCAAAGGGGAAGCTGCTTCAGGAGCTTCTCTTTGAGAGACTGCATCTCTAATTAAATTGCCAGGCTCAATGGATCCTGGGATTTGTAGTTTGGTAAGGTACCAGCACCCTTTCGCAGAGAAGGCACATGGCCTTATTTATTTATGTACCTTATTTATATCCCGCCTTTCTCTACCGCGAGGGAGTTTCAAGGTGGCTTACAATCGCACCTCCATGGTCCCTTAAAGCATACCACATCAGCTAAAACATTAAAACAACTAAAATGATAAAGGGTCTGGAGAACAAGCCTTATTGGACTGGATGGCCCATGAGGTCTCTTTCAACTCTAGGATTCTATGATTCTATGATTCTATGAATGCATAAATATAATAAAAATACATTTCAATGAATCATGTCATCCAGAGTCATAGTCTAAAGGACAATCCATAGTCAAATTACACATATTCCATACTAACATTCCTCCATCTCATTCTGACCAAGGCCAACCCATTGGGATCCAAACATTTTTCAAACGCCTTCTCCCAGATCCAGGTTTTGACTCTCTTTCTAAGCACTAAGAGTGTGGGGCTGTCCTGATATCACTAGGAAAAGAGTTCCACAACCAAGGGGCCACCACTGAGAAGGCCCTGTCTCTCATCCCCATCAACGACGCTTGCAAAGAAGGTGGGACCAAGAGCAGGGCCTCCCGAGAGAAGCAGAAAACAAGCTTGCTCCCTCCTCCCTGTGACTTCCTCTCACATATTCCTCTCACATTCCTCTATCATATCTCCTCTCAGCCTTCTCTTCTTCAGGCTAAACATGCCCAGCTCCTTAAGCCGCTCTTCATAGGGCTTGTTCTCCAGACCCTTGATCATTTTAGTCGCCCTCCTCTGGACACATTCCAGCTTGTCAATATCTCTCTTCAATTGTGGTGCCCAGAATTGGACACAATATTCCAGGTGTGGTCTAACCAAAGCAGAATAGAGGGGTAGCATTACTTCCCTAGACCTAGACACTATGCTCCTATTGATGCAGGCCAAAATCCCATTGGCTTTTTTTGCCGCCACATCACATTGTTGGCTCATGTTTAACTTGTCCACGAGGACTCCAAGATCTTTTTCACACGTACTGCTCTCGAGCCAGGCATTGTCCCCCATTCTATATCTTTGCATTTCGTTTTTTCTGCCTAAGTGGAGTATCTTGCATTTGTCACTGTTGAACTTCATTTTGTTAGTTTTGGCCCATCTCTCTAGCCTGTCAAGATCATTTTGAATCCTGCTCCTGTCCTCTGGAGTATTGGCTCTCCCTCCCAATTTGGTGTTGTCTGCAAACTTGATGATCATGCCTTCTAACCCTTCATCTAAGTTGTGCTGTCACACGCTGGGCCTATAGCAATTGGCTGTTGAACAGGACGTACTCTTTGTGCCCAGCGGGAAGGCAGGGTGCCTCGAGTGAGAGGCCCTAAGGATTTTCCTATACAGAGTCTTTAAAAACTTGAAAAGTTTAACAAAGTCCTTTATTATTGCTTAGGTCTTCAACAAAACAATCAAATACTTCTCAGGTTGTCAATAGGTCAAACAAATACTTCAAGGCTTTGAATCAACTGGTGGCTTTCTTAATCTTGTCCACAAGGGACAGGCAACTGGCTTCGTGAACTGTTTCTTTTCTTTAAGAGGAAAACCCTTTTTAACCCCTCCTTGGTGATCTACTTTCTAAACTTTGCTGGTGTGGGCTCTACTCCCGGCTCCAAACTGCTTCTTGGGTCCCGAGTAGACCTACCAGCCAAGGCTTTGTAGATTCTCCAGCTGGAGTCCTTTGGAACTGTTTCCCCCGGAATTTCGTAAGAAACGAAGCTTCTCTACAGGTGGAGCTGATTCACATCCTGTAGCTAAGCTTTCAACTATAAGACTGAGCTAAAATGGCTCCCTTTCCTTCCTGAACCCTGGGGAAAGGGGCAGAACTAAATAACCCAACGATGATAGGCAGGTGGCTGCAAACCAGGGGAAACCACCTTATTGCAAAATTCATGGAACTTTGGAGTACATGCAAACACTCAAAGAAAGAAAAGGAAGTTGGAGCTCCTGGTACAGCCGTACCAGCACATAAGTCATTAATAAAGATCCTGAACAGGACCGGGCCCAGGACGGAACCCTGCGGCACTCCACTTGTCACTTCTTTCCAGGATGAAGAGGAAGCATTGGTGAGCACCCTCTGGGTTCGTCCATTTAATCAATTCCAGATCCACCTCACCGTAGTTTTGCCTAGCCCACATTGGACTAGTTTCCTTGCCAGAAGGTCATGGGGGACCTTGTCGAAGGTCTTACTGAAATCCAGGTACGCTACATCCACGGCATTCCCCGCATCTACCCAGCTTGTAACTCTATCAAAAAAAGAGATCAGATGAGTCTGGCAGGACTTGTTTTTGATAAACCCGTGTTGACTATTAGCGATGACCGCATTTGTTTCTAATGTATTTATACTTGAGTTCTTAGCTGGTTTGGCTACCGCAGATTAGCCCAGTTACCAACTTCAGAAAACATATGTTCTCCTCGAACCTTATCAGCAAAGAAACACAGCTGGGTGGAGTCTGCCTTTGCTAAGCTGGAGGTTCATTCCTGCCACTAAGAGAAAAAAAAAAGGTCTTGTTGATGCAGAAGGAAGCCAAACACACAGTTTACCATTCAGAAAGCTGAGCAGAGTTTGGAAATCTTACCCATTTTTGATTGAACTATAACTTCCTCATTGGGCTTTCAAATGCCTTCAGGTTGGGCTTCTCCTTAATGATGAGAATGAGTTATGGATCAGGATATACAGTTTGTCCCAATGGACATGGTTCCTGATTTTACATCCAATTTTCTCACTGGGATGATTGACATGGTTGGGAAAAGGTTATAGCAGTGGTTCTCAACCTCACTAATGCCGTGACTCCTTAATACAGTTCTCATGCTGTGATGACCCCCACCCATAACATTATTTTTGTTGCTACTTCACAACTGTAATTTTGCTGCTGTTATGAATCATCACGTAAGTATCTTATATGCAGGATGTATTTTCATTCACTGGACCAAATTCGGCAAATGCCTGATACACCCAAATTTTAATTCTAGTGGGATTGAAGGGGAGATTGATGCTGTCATTTGGGAGTTGTAGTTGCTGAGATTCATAGTTCACATACAATCAAAGAGCATACTGAACTCCAGCAACGACTGAATTGAACCAGTCTTGGCACACAGAACTCCTATGACCAACAGTAAATACTGGAAGGGTTTGATAGGCATTGACCTTGAGTTTTGGAGTTGTAGTTCACCTACATCCAGAGAGCACTGTGGACTCAAACCATGATGGATCTGGACCAAACTTGGCACGAATACTCAACATGCCCAAATGTGAATACTGGAGGAGGTTAGAGGAAATAGGCCTTGACATTTGGGAGTTGTAGTTGCTGGGATTTATAGTTCACCTACAATCAAAGAGCGTCCTGAACCCCACCAATGACCAAATTGGGCCAAACTTCCCACATAGAACTCCCATGACCAACAGAAAATATTGTGTTTTCTGATGGTCTTTGGTGACCCCTCTGACACCCTCTCATGATCCCCCCACGAGTCCCGACCCCCAGGTTGAAAAACACTGCTCTAGAGCTTCCAGAGACCCAAAAGTCTCTCCTGGGTTCAATTATTCCTTAGAATTCATGCAGTTTGACAACACTTTAACTGATATGGTTCAATTCTATGGAATCGTGGACGTTATAATACGGATAAGGACTTGAACAAGAGGACATCTTTTTTTGTTTTTAAAATTTTTATTATGCACTATCTTTATGTCTAAATCAGTGGTTCTCAACCTGGGGGTCGGGACTCCTGGGGGGGGGGTCACGAGGGGGTGCCAGAGGGGTCGCCAAAGACCATTAGAAAACACAGTATTTTCTGTAGGTCATGGAGGTTCTATGAGGTCCAATTCCATTGTTGGTGGGGTTCAGAATGCTCTTCTGTTATAGTAAAGGTAAAGGCAATCCCCTGACATTAAGTCCAGTCATGTCTGACTCTGGGGTGTGGTGCTCATCTCCATTTCTAAGCCGAAGAGCCAGCGTTGTCCGTAGACACCTCCAAGGTCATGTAGCCGGCATGACTACATGGAGCGCCGATTATAGGTGAACTATAAATCCCAGCAAATACAACTTACAAATGTCAAGGTCTATTTCCTCCAAACTCCACCAGTGTTCACATTTGGGCATATTGAGTATTCGTGTAGAGTTTGGTCCAGATCCATCATTGTTTGAGTCCACAGTGCTCTCTGGATGTAGGTGAACTACAACTCCCAAACCCAAGGTCAATGCCCACCACACCCTTCCAGTATTTTCTGTTGATCATGGGAGTTTTGTGTGCCAAGTTTGGTTCAATTCCATTGTTGGTGAAGTTCAGAGTGCTCTTTGATTGTAGGTGAACTATAAATCCCAGCAACTACATCTCCCAAATGACAAAATCAATCTCCCCGACCCCACCAGTATTCTAATTTGGGCGTATTGTAAATTAATGCCAAATCTGGTCTAGTGAATGAAAATACATCCTTTATATCAGATATTTACATTATGATTCATAAAAGTAGCAAAATTACATTTATAAAGTAGCAACGAAAATACTTTTATGGTTGGGGGTCACCACAACATGAGGAACTGTATTAAGGGTCACAACATTAGGAAGGTTGAGAAACACTGGTCTAAATTCACTATAATGGTTTTTTGTTGATCAATGTATGTATTCTTATGGCATCAAATTGTGCCGACTGTGTATGCCGCTCTGAGTCGCCTTAGGGCTAATATGGGCGGGGTAGAAATAATGCAAATAATAAATAATACAAATAAAAGAATGGATGAGTAAATAAATGGGGAAATGAACCCAACCCACCTGCTTCCGAGCATGGCCTTGGTCTTCTGCCGGCATGTTGGATGTACTCTGGTACAGCGTTCTGGCAATGAGGAAATAGTAAATGGATATGATGGCCAGCGGGATGATGTAGAATATCAGGAAGCAGACCAGGGAATGAGCTTCCTGCAGGATCCTTTCAGAGACCGGGTAAGGGGCGCAGGTCTCAAAGGAGCTGTTTCTCTCCGGAAGGTGGAAAGCATACAGATCGGAGGACACGGCCTCTGGAACAGCCAGCAGCATGGAGACGACCCAGACGCAAGTGGCCTTCAAGCAGGTCCTCAGGACGGCATCTGCCCTTTGAAGCTCCAACGGCTTGACAATTGCCTTGTACCTGAGGATCAGAAGTCATGGATTAGAGAAGGTACCCTCAGACGTTGTTAGCAGAGGGCCAGTTCAGGGTCCTTCAGGCTATTGGGTTTTGTTTATTGATCTTGTTGTGGGCCTTCAAGTCATTTCAGACTCAGGGTGACCCAAAGGCAACCCTCTCTCTGAGTTTTCTTCTCAGGATTTATTTATTTATTCCTCGGAGGTTGAGAGAGTGGGACTTGGCTAAAGACACCCAGCCACAGTCCGAGATTCAAACCATTGCAGTACACTTTATGGATTCCTTCCCTCTCTTATTTCCACCTACCTCTCTCCCTTTTCTCCTTCCCTCTCTTTTTCCAACCCTCTCTCCCTTTCTTCTCTTCCTTCCCGCTCTCTTTCCTATCTACCTTGCTTCCTTCTTTTTCTCCTTCCCTCTTTTTCCAACCTACCTTCCTTTTTCTTCTATTTCCTACCTACTTTTTGTTTTCCCTTTCTTTTCTTCCTTCTGTTTCCTACCTTTCTCTCTGTTTCCTACCTACCTTTTTTTCTCCCTTTCTTCTCTTCCTTCCCTCTCTCTTTCTTATCTTGCTTCCTTCTTTTTCTCCTTCCCTCTTTTTTCAACCTTTCTTTCTTTCTTTTCTTCTTTTCCTACCTTTCTTTCACCTCTCTGTTTCCTACCTACTTTTCTTTTTCCCTTTCTTTTCTTCCTTCCTTCTATTTCCTACTTTTCTATCTTGTTTTCCTACCTACGTTTCTTTCTCCCTTTCTTCTGTTTCTTCTATCTCTGTTTCCTACCTTCCTCCAAGGTCATGTGGCCAGCATGACTGCATGGAGCACCATTACCTTCCCAAAGAGTGGTACCTATTGATCTACTTATTTATGTATTTATTTATGTATTAATGTATTTAAAACATTTATATTCCGCGCTTCTCATCCCGAAGGAGACTCAGGGCGGAGCACAGCATATACACGGCAAACATTCAATGCCGGGACACAGATTCACATACAATACATAAACATTAAAAAAATGATCAAAATATTAAAATACACCATAGTCATCTATGTCAAATCATTGGCCTGGTCATCTTTCCTATTGCCGATTTATTGCCCTGTCCTGAAAGCTTGGTCCCACAGCCAAGTTTTTACCATCCTTCTAAAGGACAGGACAGAGGGGGCCAACCTGATCTCACCAGGAAGAGAGTTCCATAGCTGAGGAGCAATCACCGAGAAGGCCCTGTCTCTTGTCCCCTGTGACAATGGCAGGACGGAAAGCAGGGCCTCCCCAGAGGATCTTAATCTCCACGATGGTACATAGGGGGAGATGCGTTCGGACAGGTAATTTGAGCCAGGGCCGTTTAGGTCTTTCTAGGCCAAAGCCAGCACTTTGAATTGTGCCCGGTAGCAAACTGGCAGCCAGTGGAGCTGGCGTAACATGGGAGTTGTATGCTCCCTGTATGCCGCCCCAGTTATTAACCTGGCTGCCTCTCATTGGACTATTTGAAGCTTCCGAGCAGTCTTCAAAGGCAACCCCATGTAGAGTGTGTTGCAGTAGTCTATCCTAAATGTAACGAGAGCGTGGACCACCGTGGCCAAGTCTCACTTCCCAAGGTACGGGCGCGGCTGGAGCATGTTTTCAAACTACTTGGTTGGCAGAAGCTGGGGCTAACAGCGGGAGCTCACCCTGCTCCATTCAGTCAGCAAATTCAGCAGCTCAGAGGTTTAACCTGCTGCACCACTAGGGGCTCCACATGGATGCTTTTGGTTATGCATCACCAAACTCAGGGAATTTTGTTATCTGTCTAAACTGTGAATACTGGCTTTGTTGGTCTATTGAGCAGCAGATGGTTTAGTTAAAGCTTCTTTTAGTTTGACTCCATTATCCCCAAAGAATGAGCTGCAAATGTTTCCAATCCTTTGCGCTATTCTGTTTCCAAGGTCCATTAATTGCTTTAAGGCACCACTAGATAGCACCAAAATGCAATATAGATCCCTCCTTTCCTTTAGACTGTATTTAAGAGAAAGAGAGGTTTCTTTCTAATCATAAGCATATACAAAGTTAAATTGAATTATTGTGGATTTATGTCTTGCAATTTATGTCTTGCAACAAAGGCCATCAGAAAACACAGTATTTTCTGTTGGTCATAAGGGTTCTTTGTGGGAAGTTTGCCTCAATTCTATTGTTGGTAGGGTTCAGAATGCTCTTTGATTGCAGGTGAACTATAAATCCCAGCAACTACAACTCTTAAATGTCAGGGTCTGTTTCCTCCAAACTCCACCAGTGTTCACATTTGGGCATATTGGGTATTTGTGCAAAGTTAGGTCCAGAGCCATCATTGTTTGAGTTCACTATGCTCTCTGGATGTAGGCGAACTACAACTCCAAAACTCAAGGTCAATGCATACCAAAAGCTTCCAATATTTTCAGTTGGTCATGGGAGTTCTATGTGCCAAGTTTGGTTTGATTACATTATTGGCGGAGTTCAGAATGCTCTTTGATTGCAGGTGAACTATAAATCCCAGCAACTACAACTCCCAAATGACAGGGTCTGTTTCCTCCAAACTCCACCAGTGTTCACATTTGGGCATATTGAGTATTTGTGCAAAGTTTGGTCCAGAGCTATCATTGTTTGAGTTCACTATGCTCTCTGGATGCAGGTGAACTACAACTCCAAAACTCAATGTCGACACCCACCAAAACCTCCAAAACCAAAGGACACTGCCCACCAAACCCTTCCAGTATTTTGTTGGTCACGGGAGAACTGTGTGCCAACAATTCCATCATTGGTGGGGTTCAGAATGCTCTTTGATTGTAGGCTAACTATAAATCCCAACAACTACAACTCCCAAATGACAAAATCAATTTTTTTAGTTAAGGACATACATTTGGTCTTGTGGCCAAATTTGGTGTCAATTCGTCCAATGGTTTTTGAGTTCTGTTAATCCTACAAACCAACACTGCATTTTTATTGATATAGATTCCTTTCTTCTTCTCCCTTCTTGTCTTATTTCTCCCTTCCTTAGCATCTCATTTCTTCCTTCTTCTCCTTCCTTCCTTCTTCCCTCTGTCATCTTCCTATTTCTTCCTTCCTTATTGTCTCCTTCCTTCCTTCCTCATCACCTTCTTCCCTTCATGCATTATCTCATTTCATCCTTCCTTCGTCCTCTTCCTTCCTTCTATCCTTCCTTTCTTATTATTTATTCCTTCCTTCTTCTCCCTTCTTCCTTCTTGTCTTATTTCTACCTTCCTTAGCATCT